CATGTCGCATGTCATACGACCATCCTAAGTTTACCGTATATTCAATTTTCCGATGCCATAGAGAAAATTTAAAAACAATTAAAGATTTTATAAATGTCTGAAAAAGTCAGAAATGTTCACAATTTTTTATTTCCCCCTCTCCCTATCATAAAAACTATATCATCTGATACATCAATAGACGCGTCTCGTCTAGCCAGATAATTTGATCTAAATTTTTAAAATAAACGCGAAAAACTTACGGTTTTTCTGATTTTCCTCTCCCCCGTCATAAAAACCCTGATATGTGACATAAGGCGTTTTCGGAATCCTACCACAGATAACAAATCCAGATCACTGGGTTTACTCTATGGATCACGTGGATTACTGAACTTAATGCCGACAGTTTACGAACAAGTCGGATTATTGTTCCCTTAGAATCTATACGTGTGTCTTTTTATCCAACTGTTGCAGCAACATTGGCATCGGTGCGGTATGTCAACTGTTATTTATTTCAACGGTCAACCAGAATCCAACACAAAACGTTCAAGGCCGCATCGGTGAAACAACGGTTGCAACATGGTTGCAACAAACCGGTGGAAAAAAAGACACACGTTATGCTTAGAATGCATATTAGGCATTCCAACGACCTGTCAAACAATAGGTCTTTTCCTTTGCATCGAAAGTGTAGCACTGGGCTACACCAATTCTGAAAATATCGTTCCATATATACAAATTGTATGGATGGAACGATATTTTCAGAAGTGACGCAGCTCAGTGCTACACTTTCGATGCAAAGGAAAAGACCTATTAGGTGCCAGTGGGAAATTCTTGTATATTTAAGGAGGTAGCGACATAGTCTTGCAACTTGGACGCTATTTTTATTCGAAGTAGTACTCGCCAAGCCTGCCAATTTATGAAGAAATGTATAGGTGGGTTTTTTAAATATTATTTTTATTGTGTTTGACATAAAATATTTAAATGTAATCCATTATTCATGATTTTACGTAAAGTAGATAGAATACACCATATGTCGCCACCCTTAGATATACCAAACCTACCATTTGTTTGGAATGCCTAATAGTTAGGAAGGAGGAATCCTAAACGACCTTGGAATCGCGATGGTATCTAATTTCACATGCTGGTGCATAGATTACTAATGTAAATAGATGGGAAACTCAATGGTAAAATTCTGAGTCGATGTGCTGCCATCTATTAAATTGGAGTGGTACTAAAATTCAATATGGCCGCCACTAGCGGGCTTTTTGAAATTTAACTTTGTAGTAGCGCAAAAATGTAATGAAGAAAATCAAATAAAGCAAAAAAATTGGAAAAATATTTGACTAGTTTTTAATCATAAAACAACCATATTGACTGTTTTGTGATTTGAAACTAGTCAAATATTTTGCCAATTTTTATCTTTATTTGATTTTACTTCATTTTATTTTTGCATTAATTTCAAACTTGAAATAAAATGCAATTTATTTTATTTTTTTTATTACAGTAAATTAACGCCGCATCATATAATTTGTCTATTTAAACATGGAAATATTCAAACAAATATGCATTTACTCCATTTAAATAATTAAATATTTATAAAACAAACCTATCAAAAATGTTTTCTGTAACAAAATCAGCATATATAAGTGCTCAAGACCTTTATAAAAGTTTTGCGACTTGGAGTGGCAAATAAGTTTGAAAAAATTGAAGTCGAAGCATCATCCTTTTTTACTATTGAGGCAAATTTGAGTGTGGATAAAATTTGCCATACGGTTATTAAGTTGACTAGTTCACGGTGCTTGGGAACCAACTTTAAATGAAAAGTTTATTTACTAGACTTTTTTTCGGTCAAAGTATTTTTGGAGGACTATAGATTGGGGCAATATATTTTTTAAAATCGGTTCCAGCAGCCGTTTTTGAGAAAACTCGATTTTTCATGAAAAAGTGACCTTTTTTTACTTATTTGCTAGTAACTTGCGCATTTTACATTTTCTCGGCTTGCCAAAAGTAAATTTCAATGGGAAAATGTCCGCTCTACAAAAAAGCATCAATGACTTTTTTCTCTAAAATCAGCCGATTTTGAGTTAAATGAGACACGGTGCTTGGGAACCAACTTTAAATGAAAAGTTTATTTACTAGACTTTTTTTTCGGCAAAGTATTTCTGAAGGGCTATAGATTGGCGCAATATATTTTTTAAAATTGGTTCCAGCATCCGTTTTTGAGAAAACTCGATTTTTAATGAAAAAGTGACCTTTTTTACTTTTTTGCTTGTAACTTGCGCATTTCACATTGTCTCAGCTTGCCAAAAGTAAATTTCAATGGGAAAATGTACGCTTTACAAAAAAGCATCAATTAATTTTTTCTCTTAAATCAGCCGATTTGAGATCTCATTTAACTCAAAATCGGCATTTTCCCATTGACATTTACTTTTGGCAAGCCGAGAAAATGTGAAATGCGCAAGTCACAAGCAAAAAAGTAAAAAAAAGTCACTTTTTCATTAAAAATCGAGTTTTCTCAAAAACGGCTGCTGGAACCGATTTTAAAAAATATATTGCGCCAATCTATAGCCCTTCAGAAATACTTTGACCGAAAAAAGTCTAGTAAATAAACTTTTCATTTAAAGTTGGTTCCCAAGCACCGTGAGTTAGGTTGAGGAGCATTTCTTCATCCGATAATTGTTTTCTTGATTCATTTATACAGCACTTGTAGTTATCAAATTTTTATTCATCATGTGGGCACTGTGATAAATAAATTTAACTTTTGAGCATAAATTAAACTTACACACGTTTGGAACCTTGAATATTTTAGGGTGTTTTCTTGTTTGATGTCAATGGCATTGAATCAATTTTTGATATTGATGGCTGAGGCTCAAATATTTCATCGATCGACAGGGTATTTTGGAGGGCCAACATTTTCTTTACAAGAATGATCATTTAAAAACTGAAAACAAAAAGAAATTTAAATAAACCAATTATTTTAACACTGAATCAAATACAAATTTGTAAATATTACTTACCGTTGGTACAGTGATAGTGCATTTTTCTTAAGACACTTATTACAATTTGGGGGACGACTGCATATTTAATGTGGTATAAATTGCATTACTACCAATATCTGGGAGTGCTTTATTGTTTGTTGCTGAAATCCATCTTCCCATCTTTTGAAAACATGCTTAAAATTGGAAGGTGTTGAAAAATAAATCTAGATTCTAGATGAATCAAAATTCAATACACCTTCAAATACAATAGCCATTTTAATTTCTCTGAGTTTGAAGTTTTGACAAGCTGACAACTGACATGACATTTCGATACGAGCGTCATCCCGTTAATTGGAGTGGTACTAAATTATCAACCTCATGTTTTTCCATTTGAGTTACCAGCCCCTGTGCTGGTGGATCAGACAATAACAAAGTGAAATAGAAAATGGTTGTTATAAATACTCCCGAGTGAGATGAAAAATAACCTGTCTTTGCCCATAGAGTCACATCTCAAGCCTATTGACAAGCATTCTACCCCACTCCTGTTCATTGGAATGACCAAGGTCAAAACCGACAACTGACATTTTTTATGCTATTTGCTCCAAACTCTAGATGGGGCTACTGGTGAAATTATGATTTCTTACTCCATTTTTAAGCTTTATGGGAGAAAAACTTAACCAAAGAATCCAAATATATGACGTGTATTTATTTATGTTTTTGGGTAGTCTCATTTTTCCGTCTGATTTTAGTGATTTTTTGTTGGCTTTGGCTTTTGGTTTTGGTTTCTGTTTATAGTTATTTGCAAAATTGTGATGTTTTGCTTTTCTATTTCCTACTGTGTTTTGCAATAATTTTGGTGCTACGTTAAAAACTTCGAGAAAAACTTCATTGATTCACCATGCATCATAAAATGACAAACGGCTATAACAACTAATTGATAATCAATTTATCACTGGACTGGATTCCGAAATCATTTTTCACATAAGAGAGTAATACCACCATCTGTATTTGGAAGGAAAATACCTATTTATCATTGAATGAATAGTTAAAAGGATTCACCTTTTAATACAATACCTATATTACATTTGTCCTCGGTTAAAAAGACATTTATAAAATATATTACTTTAGTGTTAATAAAATGTAATATCCTAGTCTCTATTTCACATTTAAATTATTGATAGGTATTTTAAAGATTTGCTCCAAGTATTCCTTAAATATATGTATTATTTGTATTTATTTTTATCTAATAATATTTATTCAAGTTATTAATAAACATATTAAGAATGTTCTATTTTATTATTTATTGATATATCTTATATTTATTTAATAATAATATGCAAAACCAACTCTCCACATCAGAACCCTTATAACAAATTAATTCCTCATATTTGGTATAATCGACCTAAATTATTTTGTAAAATAAAAGTCTCGAACTTACTAGTTCCATACTTTATTTTATAAAATAATTTATGTGGAAATCATTTAAAATTTAATTTAAAACTACTACCTACTCCTAAAAATTACAATTTGAATTTACCGCCATCTGTCAATTGTCATTTTAGTTCCTGCTTCAAACTCAAGGTGGCGCTAATTTGGTTTAAAAGTTTAACATTGGCGTGGGGTCTCTAGAAGATATGTGCTTTGTGCTATAACCTATTCATTGACGTTGCTGACGGACTGAAAGTCGTGGAGCCCGCAGTTTATGTGTTCGAGCGGTTAGATCAAGCGACGTTGGTCGCACTCGGAGTTCACAGATATGGAATTTTTTCACGGTCCGCCAGTCTACACAGGGAGTCTGTATATTAGCTTATCGAATTTTAGTTGTTTATTTCATCTAATGAATTTTCGATCACTTGTATTTCAATCAAATGTATTTCAATCAAATGTATTTCGATAAAATGTCATTCGATAGAATATATTTTCGATCAAATTTCCATAACAATTAAACGTTTCGAACAATTTTGTACCACCCAGGCTAACTAAAGAAAATTGTTTTTTTTTACATTTTTATAAGAGAGAGCCTGTGAAAGGTCATCAGAGACTTACATGGGGGCAAGGGACAATCACTTTTCAGTTCTTTATGAGCTTCTCGAATAAAAGTGGATTAAAACTAGTTTTATGCTTTCCACCCTTGTGCACTGAAAATAAAATATATATCGTTTTTCAAATTAAAAGAAACTTTTAAGAAAATCTGACCGATTTCTGTAAATTTTAGTTTTCTTAAAGTACCAAATTTCACATGAGAAACTGACGTTTTTCGAACAGAAGACGATGAAATCAAGAACTCGAATTCGAAAAAAAATTGTCAAACTTAATATGACACATGACAATTTTTACTTACCTTACTGCTCTGGACAGTTGATAACCTTGTGTTAAAGCAACAAACATATTGACGCTAAACAATGACCAATTCTTTGGTATGATAACTAAGGAATATCTTGACCAAATAAGACCAGTTACAAGTAAAGCTCCACATTGTGAAGGGCTAATTTTGTCAGCAGGCCTCTTCAAATCTGCTATTCCAGCTATTACCAAACCCTGCAAAAGTATTTAACTATGCAACTAGCAAATATTTTTCTTAAATAAGTTTATATTTAACATAAAATGTACGGTTTTATATATCATAAGACAAAATAGTATGTTCTTGATTGTTTCGGCCTTGATGAAAATCCATTTTTAGGTTAAATCTGCTCTAAATTTTAAGAATGTAATAATATAGTCCAATTAAATAACGAAAAAAAGCCCCTTCGAGCTTACATTAATTTGTAATTGGATGAAACAAAGTGGACCTTATGTATTTTTATGTGATCTTTCCGAAAAAAAGCAAAAAAAGATGTAGCTGTTTTTCAATTTTTTTTTTATATTAGGAAAAACCGGATTTTCCATGGTAATTATCTGGGCAAGTATCATTCCGATAGTAAAAATAAATGCACCAATCGAAAGAGGGGGCAAAAATAGTTCGGAAATTCATTGCACAGGTAGTTTTAATGGCGAATTTCTCGCCGCCAGAAGTTGCTTTTACCAAAAAGTTGTTTTTTCGTTTCTTTGATCAGAACCATGGACATGAAATTTGCGATGAATTTGTGGCGAAATTATAAATGTGCCCATGAGAGAAGTTGCGTGTTTTTTTGTTGGCTCTCAAATAAAATTAGTCCCGCGGCGAAATCTGCCATAATTTTTCGTGAATTCGCAGGAAACCGGAAGGCGTAGTTTTTTTTTTTTAGTTTTTTTCCCATATGATTTTCTCCGGGTTTTTCGAAAACATCTAACAAAAAAATATATTTGAAAAAACTAACTTCGGCATCGGCAAGAGTACAAAAAAATATACAAGAAGGTATACTTTAAAAATGTTAGGAAATTAATCTTAAGCCTAAGTGTAAGTTTCAACTTGGTGATAAGCTTGTTTTTTGTTCTCTAACATCTGGTTTTTAGTTATTTACAAAAAAACTTGAAATGGGAGAAGATATTATATATGCATGACAAAAATACGTATTTTCTAGTTACATTCCGAATGAGACGGGTTGGGTGGCGAAATCTGCAATACTTTTTGAAAAAATTGCAAAACAATTTTTTACTTGATTTCTCGTACTTTTTTCTTAAATAACTCGAAAACTAATTATCTGAATAGAAAACTGTTTCCATCAGATGAAAGAGAAAAAAAAGACACGAACAACTGTGGCATATACATTTTTTCTAGCATCCACTGTTTTCTGAGCGCACGTGTGCAAAGATCGGTAATTCTCGCGAAAATTGAAGCTACTCGAATTTTCTCGAGAAAAGCGGCGTTTTCTGGCAATTGGGAGAGCAAGTAAGCTTGTTTCTCATTAAACTTACTGATTCTTATATATTTTCGGTCTGTAAAGCGCCCAAATAAAAATCGACAGGGTGTTTGTTTAAAAAAAAAAAAAAAGGGAAAATGTTGGATTTAAGAGAAAACCACTCGTTTTACGAGCAATTTTCTAAGCACAAAAATTGCGTAGTTTTCGGTTATATTTCGAATGTCATAGGTCGCATTGCAAATCTGCAATAGTTCGCGAAAACGTGGCCAAATTTTTTTTTGAAATGTTTTTCCAATTTTTTCTCTTTCTTTGAATGAATCGACAAGTCGTTGTTCGACTCAACTAAATTTCTCATCATTTAAAAGAACACAGTGATAGAATTTTCTTAATTTAGGAACGTACTTACTCAATAAATTGCTGAAGAAGTCCGAAAAACCACGGGTACACAGAGCTTGCTGAATACGGTTATTAAAAATATATGCCGATGAACACTATTAAGAGATTCAATTTGTAATAATATGACCGTTTGAAGTTTAAACAACTCGGATAGCGAACGCCGAGACCATGGCTATCCTTGATGCGACGTGCGGCTAATTCTATATTTTGCACAAAACTCAAGAAACGTCTTATAACAAGTCAGTAAAATATAATTTAATAAATTTAAGGCCTAATAAATTTAGGTATGTAAGAAATTTAAAACTGAAAATCACAAAAAATCAATTTACAGAAATGCAGCGTATACACGAGTTTTGGATTTTTGTCGGGAGAATTCTACAACTTAGAAGAAACATACACACTTAAAACTTTGTATACACATTCAGAAGACATGAAATTTGGGTTTGCTTAATTTTCAGACCAAAAAACTGAAAATCGTCAATTTTAGGCAACTTTTCTGAAAAACCGTGTTTTTTGGTCGTCACTCAATGAACAGTGGTCAAAAAAATAGATAAAATATTTTTGCAGAATTTTTCGCAATGTAATCGTATTCTAGACACAATATAGTTCTCAAAAAAAAAAGTTTTAAGCCATTGGGTGCATTTTTGGCATTTTTGTGCCACTTCAAACTTTCGAAAAAAAATTTAGGTTTTTTTTAGGGAAAAAGATTTGTTTAATTGTTTGATATATTGGCCAATTAAAATCTGATTTCGGTGAAATTTACACAAGTATAAGATTTCATATTCAAGGGTAAGCTCTCTAAGTGGCACTAAAAAAATTTAAATAGTTTGGCCGTTATAGGCAAACAATGAAATTAGGCCCGCGGTACACTTTGCCCTTCCGCCATATGCCCAATTTTGGAATTTCTCTTACCCTCTTCTGGGAATCAATAGTCACATCCCTTAAGTTCAAAACGCATTTTTGTTTTTTCAAATATCTTAATTTTTACCAAAGTTATGAAGAATTTAGTGTTTGAACATTTAACAAATTCAAGTTTTCGAACTTCGCCTTCTCCAAATACTAAACAAATTTCAATCGTCCATACCGCGAGAACGGTGCATCGGATCAAAATTTCTCAGGAGACATAAAAATTAGCATTTTTCCTAAGCTTTCAAATGTCGTAAACTGTGTTTTGAAAATTTTGATTTATTTCCGACATGCACCTGCGCAAAATTGAAAAATTGACAAAATCCAAAATTTCGGCACTTTCGAAAAACAGCTACATTTTGTTTTGCCTTTTTTCGAAAAGATCACCGCAAAATACATAGAATCCATTTTGTTTCATCTAATTACAATTTAATGTAAGCTCAAAACCCGTAATTTAATTCGATTAAATAGAGATGACTTCATCGCAAGACATAGTGCAGTTGCAAGTTCATTGCATGAGCTTTCGACATCTATCAGTTTCCATAGCAAGTAATAGAAGCAGGATTTATTTAAAAGGAAACTGTAAATTTGTCGTTTCGGCAATCTGTCTTAAGATTACATCGTCAGCATAAATTTATTCTTTTTCCCTTGTCTTCTTCTATTGTTGTATGGGTTCACTTTTTCACTATCTACCCAGTGCCAGTGTTTCGTTTTTAAATGTTTTTATTTTACAAATATCACGCTCATTTTGGCAAGCCAGGTAGCCCACTGATAGTCTACACTCCATAGTTCTAGTGAAAAACTGAGATCATACAGTTAATGAAGGGAAGGTAAGAAATGTATGCTGACGCGCCGTAGACAGATTGCCGGAATAGTAATTTACGTTTTGCAGGTCGGGACAAGTAGATTCCAGGGCCATTGAGTAAAGGAAGTTTTATAATTTTGTAGGGAAAAATTTTTGGCTAAAATCGTTTTTTATAGCTAACCATATAGTCCAGGATCCGTAAGTAAGGTCGACCTTCACCCATCTGTTTAATGGATAAAAGTAATTTTTTATTAAATAAAATGTTTTTAAATATACCGCAAATGGGTTGCCTTAGAAAATACGGTCACGGCCATTTTTTACTTTCCTCTCTGTAAATAGATAAGGAAAGTATAGGATTCATGATAAAAAATGCTTATGATGTCATTCTCTATTATTTTGTTTCTATACATGATTTTCCTAAAATGGACCTAATTTGAGATATTTGATGAAAAGTGCAAATTTTGAATATAACTCAAAAACGGATAAGGAGAAAAACACCAAATTTTAAACTTAAGCTTTAATCTATCCTGCGATGAGCTGATTCAAGTTTGGGCACAGTCAAAGCATTTGGGGAATACTTTACAGGGTGCCGTTTTTTTTTACTTTAAGAAAATAAATAGTCTGGACCGAATTTTCTTAGGCAACCCATTTGCGGTATATTTAAAAACATATTTTATTTAATAAAAAGAAAGTTTCATCCATTAAACAGATGGGTGAAGGTCGACCTTATTTCGGATCTTAGACTAATAATAAGGTCAATTTTTTTTTCTCCTAGCAAAATTTTAAAGTAGCTGTTACTCAAAAAGTAAAAGTCCAATAAAAAAAATATGTTTATCAAAAGTTTCTTATTTTTTTATGTACTTTAAGAATATGTAAAAAAAATGGGATTCCCATTTAAAAAAACAAAGTAAACCTCGATATGGCCATATTATCGTCAGCTATAAAAAAATGAATTTGGACAAAATGTTTCCCCCAAAAAACTATAAAACTTTTGTCTGAAACTTTGTTTTCTAAAATGCATATTTTCGGCGGTATTTAACTGTAACACTTTAATTTGAACACCCGGTATAAGAAATGATTGTATAAATTTTAAATAAATGAAAAGAAATATTTTTTCTTATAAATCACTATTTATAAAATCCTAATAACACAAGTATCATTTGTTACCATTTAATATATTTCGACATTTAAAATGGGAAATGGCCAAACAAGATAAAAAACAATTATTGCTTCGGTCTGAATTCCCAAAACCACATCGAAAAGTAATCATTTTGTGATCATCAAAATAAAAAAAAATCAATTCATAATATACAATCTACTTCAGTTGGACTCATATGGAAAACTCTTTTATTATTGCTTTTATGAAAAAAATTATTGTTGATAAAAAGTTCTGCATGGTCCAAAACCTATAATACAATCATCAGATATCAATTTTTTTAAGACGTATACGAGGTTCGACAAAAAATATAAATTTTACTCCAGAGTAAAGTCCTTTATTTTTCACAATACGGAAGAATGTTATAAGGTAAAGTTATTTTGAATTAAAAGTTATATTCAAATATGCAATTACAACCAGTTATCATGAATATTCAGGTTTGGTGTTTTACATTATAAATTAATTGTGGTTATAAATTTCAATACTGAAATTATCTCTCCTATCTGTTAAAATATGATATCTGATGATTATATTATAGATTTTGGACCATGCAAAACTTTTTATTAAGAATACATTTTTTTCACGAAACCAATTATAAAAAGTTTTCCATATGATTCCAACTTAAGTAGACACACTGTATACATATCTATTTTTTTTAAGTTCTTAAAGAAATCCAGTACCTAACGATGTTTTGTTCTAAATTTTTAATATCCTTTTCTCAAATTTTTATTCTGATTAATTTGTGTTTACATTTAGGAATGAAACACTCTGTATATAATTTTAATTTTATGCATAGTTTTTTTACTAAAAATTATGATTTTTATTTTATTTTTAGTTCGAAAATAAGGTATATTTTTTATAACATATTTTGATTATAAAAGAATTTTACAAATTGTTATTGTTTAATTTTCAGTTCAAAACATGAAGTTTCTTTTCATTTTGATAGGTTTACGTATACGACTAAAACACACTGTAAATTTAATTTTCTGCAGGTTTTTTTCATTATAAATTAATTAAAAATTATAGTTGTTGTTTTTGTTTAATTTTTAGTACTTTTTTTATAAATTAATATTCGGTATATACCTATCTCCAGTTTCTGTTCAGTTTATGTTTACGTCTAAGAATAAAAGTCCCTGTAAATAATTTAATTTTCTTTTTATATTTGCAGAAGTTTTTTTTTTAATAAAATATTTATTGGTAACATGTTTTTTTATTAAAAAGTGGATTTATTTTATATTTTAAAATTATCTATGCACATAAATAGTAGGTACTATTTTTTGACAAATTAATTCAATGAAACTTGACATTTTTTATTATTGTTTTAGAAATAATAAATAATTATATAATTTATTGCAGATTACTTCATATTTTAGATGCATTACTACAATTATTGGAAATAACATTGATGTTCTCCGTTTATTATTTACTTAGGTAGGTAATATAAAACTCTTTATTTAATTTAGTTATGAATAATAAAATTTAACAAAAGCATAAATATATAAACTGTGCGATAATTCAATATTTCTTAAAGCAATCATAATTTGCCTGTGTACCTACTGTGAAATGAAAATCTACAATCCAATTGTCGCCACTGTACGGACGCCGGGTTTGTAGGTAGAGAGGTGCGGTATTCGCCATGAAAGAGACTTCCGATGAGAGAGCAATAGGGTACGCGTTTTAACACAACTACAATGACACAACCATTGCTTCTCTTGTTATATTCCTTTACTCAATGCGAGGGCGAGCCGTAGACGAAACCTGGAAGCTTGGAGAGACCTGCTTAACAGTAAGTTTCGGTCGCGTGACGTACAATATTTTTTTAAGACCGACACTTCGATGTAAACTCAATTATTTATTAATATAATAAAGTGATTAACAAATACTAAAACTAGATAATGGATACAACATAAACTAATCAAATACATTATTTTTGAATATTTATGTTAAATGTACATTTTTTCTGCTTCCAAAATTTCTTCTGGAATTTCATTTTTTGTCAGATAATTCAAAATCTGAATGCTTATTTTTAAATTTGCGAGAACAAGTTTGACATAAACAACAAATTAAAAATCAACGAACTGTCACTTGGCAATAAATCGGAACGTTATTACTATAGTAACGAAATCAAGGCAAACTTTATTATCAAACAGCGATCGGAAAAATGAAAAAGAGGGACAAAAATAGTATATTAAATTACGAGTGTGGAAAGTGACATTTTTCACACGAGTGGGAAATATTGTCGCACGAGGCACAAGCCGAGTGCGACTATCACACGAGTGTGGAAAATCACTTTTCACACAAGTGATGAACAATAGTTTTCCAACGACCACAAAATAATGTCATCAAAAAATGTAAAACCAGGTTATTATTACTATAATAATTAAAATGTATTTAAAAAAATAATCAACAATAATCGTATTCAATTTTCATATTTTCTAATCAAAAAAAAAACGAGGAAAATAGTTGCTTTCACTTTGGTCCGGGTCATAACGAGGTATAGGGTAACGAGATTGCAGAAGGAAAGGGGCTCAAAAACCCTTTGTGAGACCTGAGCCGTTCTGCGGTATTAGCAGTAAAACAATATTAAAAGAGATTAAAAAAGAACTGGGCAGTAGAAGAACCGATAATTGGAACAATCTCTTGGGACTAAGACAGGCTAAGATGCTTCTGGATGAATATAACCCGAAAAGATCGGGAGGCTGTATCTGCCTGAGCAAGAACAGGCTACGCATTGTAACAGGGACCCTTACCGTGCATTGCCGACTCAATGTACACCTTAGTAAACTGACAATAGTAGAAGATAGTGAGTGCAGATTTTGTGAGGAGGAGGACGATACCTCCATTCACATTCTGACTGTGTAGTACTCCAGAATCCAAAGGCACTATACCTAGGCGCATATCAAATAAAAGATTTACCTAACTTGAAGCCACTCCAAATCCTACACTTCCATGAGAAGACAGGTATAGAAGGGTAGTTATAGGCATCGAGACATTTCCTTGTTGAATTAGTGACAGAAGAGGGTACAATAGATCTTTCAGGTCGTAATCCATTAACACCCTATTCCCAACATAATATAACATTAATTCATAGTATTAAAAAATATACTTGTTTAGTATTAGTATGCATCTAGGTGGAAAACCACTTATAATTAATCTTGAGATCCACTATATAAATGGTGTACATTAGCTAGACATATCCTATTATTTTAAACAATTTTTCTCTTTAATTTCATTAAATATTCAAATTACCTGCATGTTCCAATAGACTATAATAAAAGTTTGTCCTTTGCCTTAAGTATTATCAAGTCACGTGAGAAATTAATAATTTTGCATTTAGATTAAATTGGCTTCAAATAACTTACCCATTTAAAAACTGGAGCCCAAAAAAATACCGTTTTTGGTCCTAAAAATATAATCAAAATAATTTTCTTTTAATATCATAAAAAATTATATAGATATGTATAATACCAGCGGGATGTTGCCATAATGGTTGCAATTTAGCTGGCACTATTTTATCCAAAGCAGACATAGATTTTTTGTAAAGTACAGACATAATGAGTACAATGATGAATCCGTTAAAGAACGACAAAAAATAATTTGATTTTCGTGTGAAAAAATATTGGAAGCGGTCACTTGCAAGGTTATTTTGTAATGATAACTCAAAATAATGTCAATGTGCAGTGTTTTTATAATTATCAGTGTGTAGTGCGTGTTATGAAGTTAGCTATTTAAGTTTACCGAATTCGCGAATGGGGCTTAAATGATATCAAATCACCAGTGGCGACTCGTGTTTAAAGATATTGGAGTGTTCTAGACTAAGGTTCTAGAAGATTCCGCCTACCCCTCCTCCCCCCAAAATGCAATAATTATTTTAGTTTTTATTCACTTCTTTTTTATACATTAAATGTACCATTTGGGAACGTGTGTCCGAGGCAAGATACCGCGTAAGGCGACCGAAATGCGTATCTTTAGGTACGTCTGAATCACATGTTATTAAGTGAAGCACATTTGGGACAGATATCTGGTATCTTACATATGTAAGATACCACGACAGCACTTTCAACACGTAACGTAAGTGCATCGGTCTCCTTACGTGGTCGCTTGCCTTTGCCTCCTGCCACGGTCTCGCGTTGCCAAATGGTACCTTAATTATATTCTGCGGTATTTTTTATCAGGAAACTAGACTAATACGCGTATTTAAAAAATCTCTTTTCGCTTATTAACTTATAAACTACATCCATGTCTTCCATTAATTAGTATTAACAATGTTGATTTGACAGAGACATTGTGGCAACATGTAACACTTATATTGTTTGTTGTGCATGCGATTGTAGATCTTATTATGTGACCAATGTTTTTATGAACAAGGAGGTCTAATCCTATACAAGGTCGAATGTAATTACTGACTGAAACTTACATATTTTTATTTAGTCTCTACAAAAATTGATAAAAAAAACAGAATTTAACTTTTTTTGTAACAAATTTATTTTAACAGTACATTTTACAATTATAAATAAAAGATCTTTTTACAAAATAAATTTTATAACAACGACATATAAAAATATTCAAAGACCCCATTAAACTAGTTTATAAAAAATATATTTTATTTTACTAAATAAACTATTGTTCCTAGGATTGTTCTTGTTGTTTCTGTTGTTCATTTGGTTTGTTCAAATTATAGCTGAAAAACATAGAAATCTCAATAGTTACCGTTATACTGCCAGCAACAATTTTTGCAGTAGAGCTACATGCTAAGTGAAGGAAATTTATTATTAAATTTAAAGAGTCTGTGAAAGGTCATGGCAGACTTACATGGGGGAGGGGGTAAGGGACAATAACTTTTCAGTTTTTCTTGAGCTTCTCTAATAATAAATGTATTAAAACTAGTCTTATACTTCGACGCTTGTGAACTAAAAATATAAAATACAATGGTTTTCAAATTAAAGGGAACTTTTAAAAAACCTGAACGATTTCTGCATGTTTTAGTTTTTTTAAGCTACCAAATTTTACGTCAAAAACTGAGGGTTTTAGAATAGAAGATATGGTTGATAGCAAGAACTTGGCGTCCACAAAAAATGTTGTCGAATTTGTTTATATGATATATGACAACAGTTTATACTTACTTTACTGCTCTAAACATTTGATAACCTTGTGTTACAGCTACAAACATATTGACGCTAAACAGTGACCAATTCTTTGGTATGATGACTAAGGAATATCTTGACCAAATAACACCAGTTGCAAGTAAAGCTCCACATTGTGATGGGCTAAGTTTGTCAGCAGGCCTCTGCAAATCTGCTATTCCAGCTATTACCAAACCCTGAAAAATTATTTTAATATGCATCTCACAGAATTTTTCTTAAATCATTTATATTGAACATAGGGTTGACACCTTTTCATTTAATGCTGACAGAGAGACATGCTTCGAGTGCAAAAAGAAGTGGCACAGGCGAAAAAATTTTGCATTCACCAATTTGTTGAAACTGAATAATATTCCAAAGAAAAGTGAACAAATCGGTTGAGGTCCAAAAACTGAAATGCAATTTTGGAACTATATTATATTAATTCCCAATCAGGGAGTATTTATTTTCATACTTCCAAAATTGAATATTTGTTTAATGTTTTGCAAATGCACATTCTGCACATTATTCAATCATTTTGCACTGCAAATACGTTACTGATAAGATGATTTATTTATGAAATAATATAAACTATGAAGACTCCTTCTGGAAAGACATCTTTTAGTCACTATAGTTAGAGAAAATCCCATAATGTACTGACGAAAGTAAGTTGTTGCTTATTTTCAGAATATCATCTTGTAAAACTGGACAAGAGTGTTGTTTTCAAAATTATATCATGTCCACATGTACAATTTTAGTTTCATATTAAATACTTTCCTTTCAATTTTTATTACATTACAGTTAGCATTGCATTATTAAGTCTAAAAAAAGTTAAAAAAAAATACGAAGAATTTCGCCACTACATTTTCAAGGGTTGCATTAGGAATAAAAGGTGTATGTGATATTTATATAAAATATCATATGTGATTAGGGTTGCCATAATTTCTCCAGTCTCTATCGGGACATAAACCATTTTTAAACTTAAAAATAAGTTTTTGTGACAAATTTAAATTTGTAAAAAAACGTTTAATGCATGAAAATACATATACACAACGTATTATAATATTAATATCTATACCTACATAATTAAGAAGTACCTACTTGAACTTGACTTTGAACAATATTTTTCAGAAGATTTTGCTTGTCTTAAAACTTCTTTTTGATTTTTAATATGTATTTATAACATTTCGGGTATGTCAGTTTAAAGCTATATGTATTGGAATTGCAAAATAACCAATAGTTTTTGGCATCAATTGGTCCTCGTCTTGAGAGAATAATTTAGTATAAATATTGACACATTTTGAGAAGTACAGATTTTTGATCTAAATTCTCGGGTTCTTTAGAAACGGGACTTTGGCATTATAGTCAGGACATGAAAGTCAATAACGGTGACAGTCCCGATATATCGGGACGAATGGCAATCCTATATCTGATGCACTCAATAATATTAATATTAGCTAAAAGAACTGCATCTGACATGCAGCACTTTTCAAAAGTATAACCTCTTCATTTTATTACGGTGGTTAACTTTGTCACTGAAATTTTGACATAATATAAAATCGTTTATTTTGTCAAAAAAACTATTTTTTACATGTCAATACATCTTCACATTTAAAATATAAAAAATACATAAATATAGAATCAACATACATTTAAAATACAATAAAAAATACATAATATACAGTACACTTACATGTGAACTATACAAAACATAATAAAAGAACAAGAAAGAGAAAAAAAACGTCAACAGGTACTCACGCAGTTTTATTTTAAATATTGCCGCGTTTGAAGAACATTTAATAGCTTCAGGCAAATTATTAAAAGCCTGTACACCTTTAAAAAACACTGAATTTTGTGTACATTTTTTCGTGTCCTTATAAACTCTAAAAATTTTCTCATTACGTGTATTATGTTCATGAACATCCTGATTATAACTTAAAATATTTTGTAAATATACTGGGGATTCCTTATTTAACAGGCAACCACTGAAGCACATTCAACATGGAATTGATTGGTTCCAATCTCGAACAGCTCAGTATTATCCTCATACCTCTATTCTGCAAATTTTACAATCATTGCAACTCATTCTGGTTGAGCAAATACAGTACAGTGGCACAATAATTAAAATGAGATAATATTAGAGTATTATAAATTACTAGCTGAACCGATCCCGCTTCGCTGGAATTTTTCAAATCTCAATTATTAAAAGTAAATAACAATTCGTTACTCAAAAGAAATTTTTAGGCGATACCTGGAATTTTTTTTATTAATTTTGATTAATTTTTATTAATTTAAGTTTTATTAATTTTTAATAATTTTTATTACTTTTTATAAAGTTTTAATAATTTTTATTAATTTTTATTAATTTTTATTAATTTTTATTAATTTTTATTAATTTTTATTAATTTTCACCCGTTTTCCCCCCTTAAAATGTAAAAATCCAAAAACCATGAAACACGTCATTATTAATTTGTACTCATTAGCTGCAATTCCAATTTTCATGTTCCTAACTTCAAAGAGAACAAAAAAAGTTATACTCCCATACAAACTTTTACCCCCCGTTTGCCCCCCTTAAGATTTAAAACTATAAAAACCCTAAAACATATTATTATTAATTTGTACACAGCAGCTGCAATTCCAATTTACATGTTTTTAACTTTAAAGAGAACCAAAAACATGGATACGCCCAAATAAATTTTCACCCATTTCCCCCCTTAAAATGTGAAAATCCAAAAATCCTGAAACACGTCATTAATAATTTGTAGTCAGTAGCTGGAATTCCAATTTTCATGTTTCTAACTTCATAGAGAACAAAAAAATCGTTAGTCCCTTAGAAACTTTCACCCCCCGTTTTCCCCCCTTAAAATGTAAAAAATCCAAAAACCCTGAACACGTCATTATTTATTTATTTATGCTCAGTAGCTGTAATTTAAATTTTCATGTTTCTAACTTTAAAGAACAAAGAGTTTCATTAAATGCTCTCTCCCCCATTTCCCCCCTTTAAAGTTAAAATTTCCAAAAATCCTTTCTTAGCGGATGCATACGTTATAAAATTAACCTATGTTCCAAATTTCAGCTTTCTAGGCTCAGTAGTTTTGGCTGTACGCTGATAGGTCAGTCAGTCAGTCAGTCAGGACAAACAATTTTATACATATATATATGTATATATATATATATATATTTATTTATAGGCCTTGGTGGCATCCCTCCATGTTAAAATTGCGTCTACCGTGGCATCCACGTCCTCGTGGCATCCGATATACAGATGCCACGAGGACTTTCGATGAAACTCATCGCAAATGAAAGGATCCTACCCCTACTAACTCTCGGCAAAATATTGGCGGGATGCCAAAACAGCCTATTTTTGTATGTTTTTAAACATGGTAGTTTGAGCAATGACCGCAACTGCCGCCACTTTCGTGTGCTGTATATTCTGAGATATATTTAAAGGAGGTAATGGCATCCAATGATATACATATTCATTTTGAGTACCTGGTGGCCTCTGTATATTCCGTTTTCGGTTTGATGGCATCCATTTCCTTGTTGCCAGATCTTATATTGGTTTATAACTCAGCCTTTTCATTTTTATAGATTCTGTAACATACTTTCACTAGGATGAGGAGCCCTTGCGATTTACTTCAGAGAAAATAACATGTGTTTTTAAAGCTATTTTAATTATATCTTTTGAAATATACTGGTTAAATTAGGTACACTTATTCTGTCACTTTTTAAACTGTAATCTGTGAGGAACAGATTTGTTTTGTATAAAAATTTGCACAGATTTGTCTGCTAATGTTGATAAAATTAAAAATCGTATAAGGCATAAGCTAGGAGAAATTAGCGGACAAACTGGGCGACGATGCTTGAAAATTTCAATATTGTTATTCGCTGAAATCTTTGGTTTAGATGGACTTTAGTGTCATGAAAGTTAAAATATAAATAAAAATTATCATTTTTATTGAAAAAATCATTAATTCAGTTTAAAATATTATTTAAAACAAAATATAATTTTTATACCGATTAACCGATTAAACAAAACATTAAGACTAACCAATAATTCAAAATATATATTTTTTTCTTTTAAAGTCAGGTTTTTGCCGCCAAACAACTATGGGAGCAGAGAGGGGAAAACACATTTAGCCCAAGATTACAAATACAATTCTTATACTACCAATTCAGTACACTACTTTCAATTAATTAAATCAAAATCATTAAATAGCAAGAACTCCAACATAATTTTTAGGTCTTAAAAGTCATTCGTATTCGCCGATAAATATTATTCCATCAACTTTCCGTTTGAATTAACTTATTACCTGGAACGTTACATAGTAAGTCTGTTTTTTCTGCCTAGGCAGTAAAAATATATTTTTCTAAGTCTTTAAAGTGTCAATAAAAAGCCGCTTTGGGTACAAGAAACCAAGTTTTTTTTTAAATATTTGAAAAATGACTAACTTTTAGTATATATATATAAACGACGTGGAATCATTAATTTTCCTACGAATTTTTTTCAAAACTAAACATATTTACATGTTTTCTTTTCGTTACACCTGACAAATAATGAAACACATTAAACTTTTTTTGTGAAAAACAATTATATTTTTTAATAAATATACCTTTATCGCGAGATATAGCGGTAAGTTACAAAATTAAACATATTTTATTCCAACGATTTTGTTGAAAAATCTAGAAATTGTTCTGGTAAACAGTTCCCGAGGTAAGGCCAAACTTTATTCTCGTGTGTTATTTAAAAAAAAAAATGTTTATTCCATTCTATGACTACCAGTTAACACAAACTTTTTCATAAATTTAAATAATTTTTCAAAAAATCAAAAAGCGACATTATACTTTCCAATTATACAAGGTTCTCCAAGAAAGTGATACATATCAAAGTTTTCCAAAATGGGACACCTTGTATTTCATATATTTGAATTTTCCTTGCCTTTCTTATTATAACAATAAAATAGTCTGAGTTTATACAGGGTATTTCACACGCTATAACCAGTTTTATATAAAATTCGTACTGATTTCAAAGACGTGTATAGTGCAAAATAAACATTTGAAAACCATTTTTGTGCAGTAAAAGGTTTTCATTATTAGTCAAAATTGTTTACCGATGTACTACTTTTTTAATTTTAAACAAATCTTTATAGGGTACGTCAATACAAAAAATTTAGTAACTATTTCTATTTGGGACAAATCT